ATCAATCAATCAACGAAATACTGATTAGCTGCACAGGTATGTCTTTTTAGTCTTATTTACATTCTCTGGAATATAAATGTATAGAAATTACTGTGACCACAAGGTGAGGGATCAGTTTATATATTGATTGTAATATAAAATTGATTCCCCACTTTATATACATATAATTTCTTGTTTCTTTATAAAATTTGGATTAGGTATGAAATCCCCTCTTCTTTCCTCCGGCTTTAGTTGTAAGACTTGTATCAATAAACCATTAATATGTCTAAAAAATTTCTTACAATCTAAAAATGTTTTCTGGCTTTAAATAACCTGCAAAGTGTTGATAAGCCGTTGAAAACCAATCATTTAATCAATCAATCATTCGATAATCAAAACGGAACAAAAATCTGTCTTCGAATGCCTGTTTTCGACACTATACTTTTAAATCAGAAGCCATTTTACAAGATTGCCGCTCAACTGCTTTCTGTAGCAAGAAAAATAATTAGTTATTGGCAGAAAGGTTCAATCTCAGCTGCAATAAGACCAACATCCGCCTCTTCCGTTGTGAGTCAACATACTCAAACTGCAGGTATTACTCTTGGAGCGTCCCACACACGCGTGTGTCTGTGTATACGGGAAGACTCCTTGGCAACAATGTTGAACTGCTATGTATTGTCAATCTTCCTAAACGTTAGTGAATAATACACAATTTCATCACAGATGAAGATTAAAACTTGAGGCAAAAGAGATGGGGTTCTACAAAAGAATGCTGAGAATAACATGAACGGAACGTATTTAAGAAAAATAGGAATTAAAAGGACAGTTGTGCTTAGAATCAGATAGTTGAAATTTCTGGGACACGTAATGAAGAAAGAAGGCTTGGAGAATTTGACATTCACAGGATATAAGACTCGCAGAGCGAAACAGCTAGTAACCTATCTAACGGATTTGTGTAAATACATGGCATAAGATGTACAGTAAGGGGGCAGGCATTACTTAGCGATACAAAGAATAGGAAGTTGTGGAGAGCCATGATCAGCCACATACTAAAGGAATACGGTGTATAAAAGAAGAAGACTTTTAAATAAATATGTACGAATATCTTTGGAAAGTACCTGAAAATTATACCACAGGTTGACTCATGTCTCGTGAATGAAATTGAGCAGACGGAACTATTCCTAAATCGTTGTTGATTATGTTAGCACAAAGGAACAAGTCATCGTAACCGATGGTTTGAGCGTTCTGGTCTTGTTCAACTCTTGATCATTCCAAATTATGGTGTCTCTCCCAGGCCCATTCATCATACTTATGGTATAAACCACAAGATGGTTCTGTGAGTGTTGAAAAAAAAAACAAATGTGCCTGAGCAGGCATCCGCAACAAGGAATGGTTAATCGCCCTAGCGGACAGATGTGTTCGGAAACGAGTAAGAGTCAGTTCTGTGGGGGGACCCCAAGGCTCTATCCTGTGTCCTACATTGTTTCTGATCTTCATCAACGATCTCCCCAATGTCATCAGTTCCCAACTAGGTATTTATGTAGATGACACTACCAATTACTCCTGCCTCAGTAGTAAATTGTTATGGTCCAGGTTAGGACCAAGGAAGAACAACACGAACACAAGAGTAGAAATAACGAAGGTATATTACACGAAATAATAATACAAGATGTGGAAGGTGTTAGTATGACTGTCAGTCTGGTTTGGAGTGAACTACTATCGGCTCGACTCGATTCGTCCCTCTCCCTTGAGAGGCGTAGTATACATAGTGTTAAGAAGAGTTCATTCTGTAGTTACAGGTAAGGACCCATGACATAAATCAATCAGATCTGACAACGTAAACCTGGCAGATAGTCTTGAAACGGTTTTCAAATCAGTAGTTAACTGGGGCAAGAAATGGCTTGTAAATTTTAACGCCTCCAAAAAAAACTGCTTGCATTTAACCACCATAGAGAACCTTTTCTAACTGCCATCAATATAGCTGTTGCTAGACTCCAGGAGAGCAACACTCTACTCTTTCGTGGACTCACGTTTTCCCCTGACATGAAGTGAAGTGACTACTTCGAATCAATAGCTGCATCTACTGCAAGGATAGTTGGATCACTGAGTGTTACCAGAAAATTTATCTCGTCAGTATCAGTCTTGCACATTTACTTAATCTACTATTCGTCCGTGCATTGAATACTGTTTCTATATCTGGTCCAGTTGCATCTGCAGTATATCTCGCGATTCTTGATAAATTCCAAAGAAGGTTCTGTAATGTAATCAATCCTGATCAGATATCTCGACTTCAGTCATTTTCTCACCGACGTGCCGTGGCTTCCCTCTGTTTTTTTTACAAATATTTTCATAGCAACTTCTCTGATGAGCTTTTTGCCCTGGTGACCCGAATACATGAATTTAAGCGTGTTACTTGATTGGCAACTAGGTCCCACCGTTTTATTGTTGAAATAACGAAATGCCACTGCCACTTCTACTCCAACAGTTTCTTTTCTTTCGTCCGTGCATTGAATACTGTTGCCATATCTGGTATCGTACTCCTGCTACACATCTCAAGATTCTTCACAAAATCCAAAGACGTGTCTGTAATATAAACGATCCTGATCAGGCATCTCAACTTCAATCACTTTCTCACCAACGTGATGTGGCTTCACTCTGTCTTTTCTACAAATATTTTCATGGCAACTGCTCTGATGAGCTTTTTCCCCCGTTGCCTCGAATGCACGACTTTAAGCGTTCTGCTCGATTGGTAACTAGGTCTCACCGTTTTACTGTTTAATTAGCCAGATCCAATCGCTACTTTTTCTCTAATAGCTTCTTTTCTAGCAGTTTCCATCCATGGAACTCCCACTGATTTCTTGCTTCCCTGATAACTACAATCTTCAAAAACTTAAATGCAATGTCAAGAGTAATCTTCTGTTTTCTTGAATCCTGTTCCTTTTTAGTCCTTATCCTCAGTCATCCATTTTCACGGTCTTCTCGTTCTCTTTTACATGCTTTCTAACGGTATCATATTGAGGGTGAACGATTTTTTAAAAAAAACGTATAAGAGTACACGGTGTTATCATATCCATTTAGTATAATTTCAGGGAAAACGTTTCATTTAGGCTGTGCCTCTCCGAAGGATGAGGGCTAGGGTTAACCACACGTGTCTCAGGGAAAGTATTCACTGCCTTGTGGAAGCCCGAAATGAAAGATATTTATTCGCATGCGTACTCAAGCGGAAATTGACAGAAGGCCGAGATTAAAGTGGGATGGAAGACCACATGTACAAGAACTAGAGAAAAAAAAGCTCAAGACCCTTGATTTTTCCCTTTTTTAGGGATATCTCAGTAGCCAGGTAATTATTCTACCCATCTCCCGGAGAGGAAGTATTGTCGCGTCGGGGACGGCTCCCAGGAGCACATTATGATAAATGACTTATTTACTGGTAGTCCGTAAATGAAGTCCGACAGGACTTTTTCAGTCTTCTCGTTCTCTTTTACTATCAATTACTCTAACCCATGCTTTCTAATATGAGTACACGGAGTTATCTTATCCCTTTAGTATAATTTCAAGGAAGACGTTTCTTCTAGGCAGTACCTCTCCGATGGGTGAGGGCTACGGTTAATCAGGGGAAAGTATTCACTGCTTTGTGGAAGCCCGAGATGAAGGCTTTTTATTCGCATGCATACTCAAGCGGAACTTGACACAAGGTCGAGATTAGTCCGTAAATGAAGTCCGAGAGGAAGTGGTTTTATCTTAACGTATCACGTGACTCCTATTGTGTCACATGACAGCATATTTAAGGGGGAAGCAAATCTCCCCTTTTGACACTCATGTTTTCTTTATTTGTTCACGGACGTAAGTGAAAGTTACATAAACAAATGGATCCATGTCTTCTTTTACCTTGTTCATCTTTTATCCCCTTCCCCGATCCTACTTATTCTCAGTCTTCTCTTTCAATTTCCTTCCCTGTAACCCCCTTGCGTACTAGTGGCATTATCGCTTTACCAGTGCTGAAACGATTAAAAAAAGAGATCATGTTTGTATACCTATGTTTCAATTTCACGACGCAAATAAAGAAATATGAGTCCAATTTAATGCTAAATTACCTCTAGTCCCAAATCGTTATACCTGATTCCGGAATTCTGCAATGATATTGGTGCTAAAGTAAGCAATCTTTCCCAAGAAACCATGCAATCAGATATAGGCAATACGAATAACGATTGACATATAATAAAACCAGAAAAAGATGTTATTCATATTTATCTGCAATTATTTTATTCATCTGCAATATTTCTTGATTTTAAATTTCATCTAATGCAAGGCTCAAGATCAATTCAAGATGAATGATAACTATTAAAATGGTTATGATGTATGACCTGTGTGATATGAATAAGGGCTTACAGTTAAATCACTTTGAAACACTAGTCTCCGTACGATCACCGATGTTAAGTGTTATATAGGAATAAAATATCGCTGCCGTCACTTGAGTTTGAACCTAGATCGCCAGTGAGCAAACACAAGCAATCCCATTCTGAATTAAGTGTATCCCGTGACCATAGGGGAAATGCATATGTATGAAGTCGCGTGACATTTAAATGATCACCATTTCTATTCTATCCTCTATTACTATAGGCTATTCTCTACTCTATTCACTATATTGTTTCTCTATTCAGATCACTATACGGTGATTGCTTTTCAAGCGAGTATTATCGAGGAAGTACTATTAGTGAGAGTGTTATTCGAAAGCGTCTGACGCCAATGTTGTTCAAAGACGTTACTATAGTTGTATCTGCGATTACAAAGTCTCTACTACAACGAGCCTTACGAAAGTAACAAGTATTCGTTAACATCACAAAAGTGGCAACGAGTGTTCGTTGACATCTCAAAATTAAGTAACGTCAAGCTTGATCAGTATCTAAATAGGTGACTGTTTAGGAATACCTAATTAAGTTAAAGCTATGTTTTGTTGTGTATAATTACAATCAGCCTCAACATGCATTTTCCTAAATGTAAACGTAAAACATTGTTGGGGCTTACGGCCACATCACGTTGAAACACTGGTTTCCGTACGACAACTGATGCTAAGCAACGTCGAGCCTGGTCAGCACCTAGATGGGTGACAATTTGGGAAAACCAGGTGCTGTAAGCTCGGATATACGGGTAGTATAATGGATAATATTTCGGAATTTTTAATCGGAGCGCCAAGTTCCAATTCCAGTCAGGTTTGTTATATTCACTTATGCGTAAATACACTTGGGAAAGGCATGAAACCACCTCTTCTCTGCCATAGCTATGGGTTATTTAGTAAGATTTTGATCACTAAAACATTATTATGCCAAAAATTCTTACATTCTAATTTTTTTCTGGCTGTAAATAATCTGCAAATGTGTTGATAAACCGTAAAAATAAATGAATCAATCAAAGCGTTAAGTGAAGCGAAGGTGATGGAATCCTTCTTACTTTATTATATATACTGAGTCTAATACAAAGACAGATTAATAATAATTGTAGAATATTGGGGCAATTGCATTGTCCCAATATTCTTGACAAGTCTGACTTGAAAATTACTATTCGAAATTGTTTTACTTGGTATCGAAACCAACTATTTGCACCTGGAGAAAGAATGCAACTACATAATCCACCGACTAGAACAGATATGCTTGGTTTATAAAAGAAAGAAAGAAAGAAAGAAAGAAAGAAAGAAAGAAAGAAAGAAGGAATATCAGATGGAAAAGACTGAGAACAAAAGGATTGAATAAGTTCGAAAAGTGGGTGTAAAACTGAAAGAATGAGACAAGAGGGAGAGAAAGAACGAGACAAGGCAACAAAGAAGAGGAAGAACTAAAAAAGGCGAAAAAGCGGAAGGAGAAAATGCAAAAAGAACGAGACAATACAATGTGAGAGAATGATAAAAATAAAAAGAATGTATATACGAAAGACAAACCAACGAAAGATAGCGAAAAGAAAAAAGAACGAGACACGGAGAGAAAAGGAGAGACAAGAAGAAGCGAAAAAAACGAAATAAGTCTAGAAAGACAAGAATGAGACAAAGAGAAAAAGAGTAGAAACCGAAAGATGGAGAAAGAACGAAAGACGGGGAAAAGGTAACGAACAGAGGAAGGGGGGGGAGAAGAAAAAAAAAGAGGCAAGATGAAAACGAGGAAGGACGAGATAAGCAGAAAAGGAGAACGAACGAGAGAAAACGAACATGAGAAAGATAGAGAGAAGGAGATAAAGAAAAAAAGAAGAAAAGAACGGACTAGAGAAGGCGAAAATAAGAAAGAAAGGGGTCAGACGAACATAGGAACGGGGTCAGACGAACATAGGAACGGTACAAGGAATAAAACAGTAGAAAAAGGGAAAACATGAAAAAGAGATTAAGGACAAGAAGCGAAAATAAAGGGAAAATTGAAATGGCGGTGGAAGATTTCTTTTGATGGTATCTGTTCATTATTATCCTATGAATAACTATGTTCCAAGTTGCACGCCTTCAGTGAACTTAACGGTTACCAAATCAGCAAATCAAAACAACACAACTGAACAGATTTGTACAAAAAAAAGACGAAAATAAATTAAGCCCTCAAGGGCGAGTAGACATCAGACTGATTCAATGTTCCGCTTTGAAGAAAGCAGCACTGACCGTTTTCATCTCGGCATCTACATGAAGAATCGTTTAACATTCCAAAAAAGATAACCCAAAAATACATCCTTACAGGATGCTGTTTATTGTTTGTACTCTGTATAATGTAACTCTATTTTGAGAAATGTATTATTAAATATTGGCGAATATAACTGCCATTTTAATTTCAATTGCGTTTTACGGCCATATCAAGATCCCATGGAGGCACGGTGGATGAGTGGATTGAGAAATCGAAGAGCCGAAATCCAGTAAAATCCATTACATTCGCTTATGTGTGAAAATACCTTGGTAAAGGTATTAATCTTCTTCTTCTTCTTCTTCTTCTTCTTCAGCTATGGGTAAATAGCCGGACAGACTGGGTTCTATAGCCTTGGATGGCAGCTGGGATAGGAGTAGGACAACACTGAATTCAAAACCTACGGTGGGTCGTTTGGGGACCTTGTGGCACGGAGTGCACCAGGTCTCTGTATTCGGCCCTTCAAAGAGTGTGGTTAGTTCTGCACAAAGCCTTCCCCACTATAATCAAATCATATGTGCTGGTGCCTGGGCTGTCGGTTCCTAGGAACTGAGCTGCTTGACCCTCATACGTCGAATACAACGGGAGAGTCCACTATATATATATATATAGAGAGAGAGAGAAAGAGAGAGAAAGAGAGAGAGAGAGATTTTCCAAGCGTAGCTTAGATGTGGCACAAGGCCGAAAGTATGGGGCACCTAGTGAGGATCAAACTCACTACTCAGTCGTAATTGTTCTAGCAAGACAAGCTTGCTAACCATTACACTGCCTCGAGGTGCCACTTGGTTGGATTTCGATCCGGGCTTGAGGCATTCGGTTGTCTAGTCGCACTGAGGAGCTGTGATACAGCGAAACAGTACTGTCTGCGAATGACATATATATATATATATATATATATATAGATATATGGTGGACTCTCCGTCGTGTATATATATATATATATATATATATATATATATATATATATATATATATATATATATATATATATATGCACGTTTCATAAAACCGACGGACAAGGTACTACGGTTAAGCTTTTTATTTAACTTTTTCTTGTGTTCGAACAAGAGCTTTCTTTTCTGGACACAAAGTATACATGATGCTGCATTCGCTCACAAATATATAGAATAAATTCTCGTTCGAACACAAGAAAAATTAAATAAAAAGCTTAACCGTAGTACCTTGTCTGTCGTAATGAACATGCATAAAGGAAGGATTGCTGCCTAAATACACACACACACACACACACACACACACACACACACACACACACACACATATATATATATATATATATATATATATGTGTTTTTTAGTGAATTAATTTTTTTACGTGTTTAGATTAATAAATCTTATCCGGAATATTACGGGTTACATAAATTGTTAATCAAATATAAAACTTATTTAACAAAAATTGCAGCGATGTCAGTATTTTTTAAACCCTATATTTAGCCACAATCTGAATTTCTCCATTGAATTAAGACTTATCTGATATTACCGATTTATTCTATATATTTGTGAGCGAATGTATCATGTATACTTTCTGGTAAAAAGGTTAAAATATCCCTATATCAGTGGGATAATAGGCTAAATGTATTCATCGTATATCGTATATAATAACTGTTTTGTGGATGGGTTTAATCTTATTAGAAGCCCTTACAGCTATGCATGGCCTTGGCTGTTTGCGAACTTAATTTGCTGAGAGAAATTCATGTAATGTGTGCGTCCTGCTTTTAATTACGAAATGGCGTTTGCGCCAATCAGTAATGCATATCTAACAACTAAAATACGAAGTGTCAATTAAGAAGCTTGATTTAAAACAGTAGCCCCACGCCTTTTCTTTTTTTGTATCTCGGGGCCCTTAATGTATTTATTTATTTCAAGTAGTACTCTGTCTGAAAGGTTCTGAACCATTGAATTTACATTCCCGTGGTTGAGGTAGGACGAAATAAAAAAGCATTTACCGTAATTCCCCATGTATAATACGCCTTCATTTATAATACGCACCCCTAAAATTGTGCTGAAAGTGTGGGAAAATGCTTCTATTTATGCATAATATGCACCTCTTGTTTGGGAATCAAACGGTATAAATTGTTTCTCTCCAATTTCATTACGACCAGCGTTTCCTACTCTTATTTAAAAAATGGTTTTAAACATAGAATAATATTATTCTATTTAGTTTTATGATAATTCTTATTTTATTTTACGGCAATTTTTTAAAGATTTTTTGTGGCTATGCATAATATGCACCCCTGATTTTGCTTATTTTTTTTTTTTTAGAAAAAAATGTCTATTATACATGGGGAATTGTGGTAACTTAATAAAATGCTACTTCTTTTTTTTCCCTCTTAAGTTAGTTAAATTCAGAACTAGTCCTAGGCATGACAATAAAATACATTCAGTAACAAAGCAACTTATCAAGTAATTGGTGGTTTTTAGGAGCGTGAAACTACCTTTTAATTACTGTTTGATATTTCCCGAAAAGAGATATATTTGTTCGAAGTAGCAAAGTGGTTTTGGACTACTGTAACTGAGTAGGACAATCTAGCAGGTAATCGTAATGGACTGGTCCTCGTCGTAGTGGTAGGCAATAGGCGTAGTCAATAGGTGTATGCCTGTACCTCCACATCAGTCTGTATTTATGGCTGACACCAGCCAATTATATTACTGTCAGGGGGAACCCAGGTGTATGCATATTCATTACATCACTGTTGATCTCAGGTCCACCCTGACCCCGGGGTGGTAGCACCTGTCAGGTTCCCAGCTATAGGCTAATAGTCAACTACCAAACACTATGAAAGTATAAAAATATATTTTTATAGTAGAAATACCAGCAATACCACCGATACATAATTATAGTGAAATTAACAACAATACTTTCTTTTAAATCAGAAGTAACCAAAATACATTTTATAGAAAAATGACCAACAATACATCTTATCTGTAGTTGAAGCCATAAAACTATGTTCAAAATATTTAAATTTCGCCATAAAATGGCCTATAGAGGTTGATATGCCAACATAAAATTAACCAACCAAACAACCAAAATGAAAGATCTCTTTCAAAACATTAACCCATATAATATTCTATAATTTCTTAAAGAAATCAAATTGTATTCCAAAACGTAACTTCAACAAAACTACCACATAAAACATACATATCACAGCCTCTAGGAATTATGTTCACACAAACATGTCTAGGCACAAAAGCTGAGAATCATCTACCATATGTTCAACTGTGAAAGCAGAATAACATATAACATATTTTTATTAATCCAAAGCTCCCAAGAAAATTAAATTTTGCCATTAAATGACCATTGATATGCTGTTAAACAAACACATCAAGTCTATGGCAAGTGTTCAGATGAGCACTCCATTCCACCAGTTCAGACATTTACAGCTAGAACACCCCATGCTACTTTCACAGAGTCGATTCATCCTCATTTCCTCAATGTTTCAAATGTGAAAAGAAAGTTCTGCTGAGACGGAATTTCTCCAAGAACTGCTTCTTTTTGGAAACCACATCCACGTTAGGGCACTCTTGTCAAGGAAGAAATTGTTCATCCTGCAACCCCTTTCCTACAGATACAATGATACTCTCTTGCTATTTCCATGGCAAGTAAGTCCTTTGATTGGGAGATTGGAAGTTTTGAGGAGTATGGAACCACCTCTTAATTGCTGTGATTTCCAGTACCACCCTGACACAGGGTCGTAGCACCTGTTAGGGTCCTGGCTATGGGCAAATAGTGAACCCCCAGAAACAAAAACAAAATGCTTTGAAGTATAAAAATACATTTTTATATAAAAAATACCAACCCTAACTATAGTAAAATTACTAACACAACAAATTAACATGAAAGAACTCTTTCATGATATTAATCCATATAATATCCTATAATTTCTTAAAGAAATCAAACTGTATTCTAAAGTATAACTTCAACAAAACTACAACTTAAAACTCAAAATAAAGAAATATATTGTTTAATAAATAAACGGAGCGTCTACTGCAACATGAGTATCCACTAAAATAATGTTTACAGTGATATATATATATATATATATATATATATATATATATATATATATATATATATATTTGACAGAAATATAGTTTTAATGTATGCTATATGTTATGGTCTAGGTTAGGACCAAGGAAGAACAACACGAACACAAGAGTAGAAATAACGAAAGTATATTACACGAAATAATAATACAAGCTATGGAAGGTGTTAGTATGACTGTCAGTCTGGTTTAGTGTGAACTACTATCGGCTCGACTCGATTCGACCCTCTCTCTTGAGAGTCGTAGTATACATAGTGTCAGGAAGAGTTCATTCTGTAGTTATAGGTAAGGACCCATGACACTATACTTATGGGTTATCTTGCTAACGACACACCTGCAACGTATCACAGAAATCGCTTTGACATTTATCTGTCTTGGTAAATAAGGTCAGCTTAATGGAATGGTCCTACCAAAAACCTAGTCAAACGATCCTGACAAAGACGGCCACCGAGTGAAGCTACACTCTGAGTTTTAGATAAATTACTTCTTAGATAAAGTTGACAGGACCAAGAACTGTGTCCTCTATAAGACAGTGGTTACTA